TTTGAAATCCTGAGTTTTGGCACAGGTAAGGTTGGGTGGCCGAAAAGCAGACAAACGACGGCTGAAGTTTTCAGAATTGGTTTTAACTTTCGGCTTTAACCTGTAGGCAAATGGGATAAAGTTTAAGGAATATGTCTATGAAAGGCATTGTTTTGAAAGTTTTGAAATGAAACTAATTTGAGAAGGGAAATCAACGAAAACCGATCATTGAGAATAGTATCTCTACCAGAAATGAGCGGAACAAGTATTTAAAAACCGGAAGAAGGATAAGGAAAAATGGTAGGAAAATAAGGAACACAATTTTTGAAAAACTCCAAGTTCTTTTTTGAACAACTTTGAGAATCACTAAAAAGAGGAAGTTAAGCTCCATTAAACGACATTTCAAGTGGTAGCACAGGTTTAGAAAATACTTTTAGAATTCAAAATATAGAAAAAAGTTCGAATTATCGGGAAAAAGAAAAACCAGAAAGAGGGAATTCCGATCATCTCTAATCTCTACCAGAAGTTTTGAAATTTGTCCCGTTCGCGGGAAAACGGAAAATGGCTTATTTTCAATTATGCTCATGAGTTGCTATTATTAGAAATAAAACCTTTTCCAAAATAAAACATGTTTCAAAGAGAGAATAGATATACATTGGTATTGATTTTAATTGCTTTCTCCTACTTACGACTGATGAATTAGGAATTCTGTTATGAAATCCGAATTTCAAATTTCAGCTCTATATTGTTTCATCTCTGATGACGTGGCATTATGTTTACTCAAATCGGGTGGAGGAGGCAAAAAATGCAATTAAAGCAACAACGATAAGAAGGGAAAATGCGTACTCCGGGAAAATAGAAACATGCACAAAAATAGTTGGGTGTTAAGTGATAAAACCTAAGTTCTTTTTCTCTTCTGATAATAAAATGTTGCCATTTTCTCAATATTTTTGGAAATCAAAAAGAAACTATTCTCAAACTTCCGGAAATTTTTGCAGATATGAAGAGGATTTTGCAGGAGATATGTGTTTTGTAGGCATGAATCAAAATGAATCAGGCGAGAAAATATGTGAATCCCAGAGAAGAAAGGAAGAAAGAACATTTATCAAATGGGATACATGAAAAAAGAGAAAAGAGGAAGAGAAATGAGCAACACAAGAAGAACAAAACGGGGACATTGTGTGGACATGATCGGATGAACATTGGAAAAGAAAAGAGAGATAAAGAGAAAGAGAGGGAGTTGTGATAATGTAGATACTTTGATGAAATTGTTTGCATAAACTGTGACACATGTCGACAACACTTCTGTTTATCATATATTGCACCAACATAGTTGGGGATGTTACGGGTTTTTGAAACGAGAAAAATCGTTACCGTACACTGGTAAGGCGGGGTTGCCGAAAAGCGTGCAAGTGGTGGCTGAAGATCTAAGAGTTGGCTACAATTTTCGTATTTTGCAAATGAGGAAAAATTAGTGACAGAAAATAGGAAAAGCTTTTATTAGTAATCATACCAAAAAACTCTGTTTTTTTGATAAATATAAGAAAACAATGGAAACGTATAATTTTTGAGTAAATCTACTTTGAGCAAACCATATCTGCTGTAACTTCTACTGTAACTTCATAACTTCTTTTTTTTCTGGAAACTGAGCAACCTTGGAATTCTGGTAAGGACTCTGGTTTAAATGATTTTTATGCAAAAAGCTTGTACCGCAAGGCCTGTATTAGAAGGGCCCCTGAAATTGAAGGGCCCCTCTAATTGAAGTGCCCCTTTGACGATCTCCTTTGATTATCAGCCGTTTTTCTGGTTTTGATTGAATAATTGTCTAATTTATAAAAAAACTGGGACCTGAGAATTTGAATGCTGTCGCTCTATTACAGATTTTTGTCTCGTTTGAGCGATTTTCGCAATTAAGCTTAGAGTTTAGAGTTTGAAATAGTTCTAGACGCTCTAGCGATCAAAATGTTACCAAGAAATCTGAATTTTATTCAGAAAATCCCTCTAAATTCCGGGAATTTATTTCGTTTGATGCAATATCGGTTTTAAGGCTGGGACCTTGAACGGCGCTCGCAGAATTCTCGGGTGCCAGTTTTTTTTATTTGATAATATTAGAAATTATGATTTTTTTAATGAAGAAATTGTAATGGATTCTGAGAAGAAAAATGAAATTTTCACTGAAAAATGATGCTCCTCCAATAGAAGTTCCGTTCTCAGCGACCCCACGAAAAATACAAGTGCCCCCTCTAATTGAAGGGCCCCTCTAATTGAAGTGCCCCCCTAGGGACCTAACGAAAAATAGAAGGGCCAGCCCAAGTTTTACGGTAACTTCGATGAAGATGCTTAAGTTTTTTAAAAATAATGTTTCCCTAACAGATCCAAATAAAAATCACATGAAATCTCTTCTTTTGAAATTTTTGAGAGAGCTTGAAAGCCTTAAAAGACACTGGATTTTTTTAAACCTTGAAGTTGAATATTACTGAAGGAAAACATCAACAGAGTTGTATCTTGAGTTGTATAGTGTAGAAAGATTAGAAGCTACAGTATTCTCTAAAGTTTTTTGTCTAAGACGAAATTCCAAAGTTGTGTGCTTGTTTAAAGTATAAAATTCAAATCAGTTTGAACACCAACTATGATAAAGTAGCGTAAATCTTTGAATTCGAAGAAAGAGAATGATTCCTTTTTCTTTTCCCTCGTTTTCTGTATCACCTAACTGTCATCAGACAGGGATTTTAATGGATTCAGCGGAGATACATCGTAATTCAAAAAGTGACTTGATTTGGACACTGAAATGAATAGAGAAATGGAGAGAAAAGATAGGGGGAGGTCTTCTCTTGAATCAACATTGACACAATGGTTTTTGTAATCAGAAGATGAAAATAGAAAGAGAAAAAACTGAGATGAATGCGATACATGCTGTGAAAAAAATGACCAAAGACAAGAGAGAAAAATGTGAGAATTTTGAAACAATTCGAGGTGACAGGACAAGGTAAACGAAGTTGGAAAAAATAGAGAGTAAAGGACAACGAAGTGGAAGCGGATAGAGATCGATATTCCAGAATGTTCGAGAATCGAAAAGCATTCTCACTCAAATATCAAAATCAGAGAAACGGATTACTGTAGTTCAACACTTTTTCAAACATGAAAAGAACACCGAAATTTGTGGACATAGAAAAAAGTGAGCATGAGCAAGCAATGCCTCATTGAGTTCAAAAGAAAAAAGCCGCCATTGCTAAGAACATCTGGCACTATCAAAACTAAGTTTTCGAGAAAAAATATTATGTAATGATTTACAGTTTACAGTTGAATTTCCAACAAGGACCACTCAAATCATAAATTTTTCAAAACGGAATTTCAAGAAAGGTAGGCAACACCCACTCGCCTCTTGGAACACATTATCCGATTTCTACATCTTCGAAACATGTGGAAATCTGGCAAAAAGTGTGTTAACCTCGAACAAGACACACTCCAACTGCGTCACTTTTTTCCGTTTGCACCTGATCGTCTCTGCTAACAAATTGATAACAGAATGGGAAGTCGAGGGAGACCCATTGATAAGGAATGACCGCCCGATCGGACGAACGGGAAGAAAAAAAGAAAATGAACGGATGGCTGAGAAGAGGCCGAAATAGGTTGAGAAGTGATAAAAGTTTGGAAAGTTCATTGATGAGAAAGTGAGAGTTTAAAGAAATGAGAAGATATTATGAACTAAAAAGTTTTTGAACTATTTCTCTGCTTTTTGCCAAATCTCTGTTATTTATCCGAATTCAGGTTTTCGTTTTTCTCTTAACTTTCAGTAACTTTTTTTTACTATCAAAGAATAGAAAAATCGATGAAAACTAGTGAAAAACGAGAAAATTAATCCGGAAAATGAAAAGACTTTTAGGATACGGTAGTTGTCCTTGTGGGACCTTCGGCCACGGTCATCGGCCTTCATAAAACAAGGCAGCCCAAAAAATGAAACCTCCAAAACTGTTGAGCTGGACGGTCGAAAATGAATGACACTAGGAATAATGATTAGAATGAATGAGAATGAGATGGAGAGAGTGAGAGAGTGAGAGACATAGAACATCCAAAACGGATACTGTAGTTGGCATTTTAAGAGGGGAACAAATAAAAAAAGAATGGGTGAATGACAGGTGGGGTAATGTCTGTACAGAAAGGTTGTACTTTTTTGAGCAGAAAAAAGGGGTAGACAGAATGAGAGAATTAGAGAAAACTGGGAGGAATGGGGAAATTTTTACGAAATGGTAAAGTGAACACAAAAACAATATGAAATACTGTAACTACACTGATCTTTCACAAAAGAGCGGTTATATCAGGAAGAAGTGGAAACTCCGAATCCCTAGAAATTTGAAATTTTGAATTCTGCAAATCCAAAAGATCTTGAAATCATGATAATCTAGAAGTTTGGAAGCTCAGAAGTCCGGAGATCCGAAGATAGGACTCACTATCAGAAGTCCGGAGAGAAGTCCGGAGAAATTCCTATATGCAGAAGCTCAGAAAAGTCAACGTCTAGAAGTTTTGAAATTAAAATTTCAGGTTCTTCTGTTCATTTTTACAAAAAAAAAACAGTCAAATCCTTATCAAATTTAGTCAGCAAGGAAACATTTCAGACGTTCTAAGCGAGCATGAGGCTATCCATGAGCGAGGCTGAATTAAAAAATCTCTAGTAAATGAAGCGGAAGTTATATATTTGAGATCGTATGTGTGTTTTATATCACAAGAGGAATTGAATCAACATAGTCTATCAAATATGATTTTTCGAAAATCGTCATTTTTGGATTTCGCACAATCAGATTACTCATACATAATTTTCCAGCCTAGTAAATCTCTTTGTAAATCATTTTCTTTTTTCTCTTTTTTTCAAAAAAAATCTTCAAAAGTTTGACCATTCTTCTTGCTCAACCTGCGAATGGGCACTTCATTTTATAAGCTTTGTGCTGGTCTAGGCAATGCCCATATTTGCCTCCAATACCTGAGAATAATCGAATGGGACATTTTGGGTTCTTCCCTTGTGAATATTACGATTCGTTTAGTGTCTTGGAGAAGCCAGTTTTCACAAAACTTCGAGGATCTATTTTCAGAATAAAATACGAAACACACAAGGCAAAAAACAGAAAAACAAAATAATTCTGAAGAACTGAACGACCGGGTAAAAGCTCATCGAGCTTTAGACGATGTGCAGAAATGAGAGATAAAGAGACGCAGTCGGAGAAATGTTGCCATCCGAAGGCAGGCCGAATGAGGAGGAAGAGGGAACAAGCAGTCAACGAACCATCATGATTCATTTTTAATTAGTAGAGAACCCCGAACACAAAGAATGAAAAAGAATGGAAGAGTAGAATGGAAAAGTATTTCAATCTGAAGAAAAAATATGATGTTTTGGTTGTTGTGAGCTGAAAATGAAAAGACAAAAATATATAGAGAAAGTTAATTTGTCTTGAAGTTACTGACAATATCGAGATTGGAAAACATTGGTTCTGGGTGTCTTTTAATTTACGACTCAGATTGAAAATACTCAGAAAAACATTCAATTTAGCTCGGAATTTCAGACTGATGTTCACTTTTGAAACCATTAAATGTCCTCCGGTTTCGAAAGTTCAAAACACAAAAAAACTAGGTCAAACTGTCTGTTTCCCTTTCTCATTCAACAATCTCTTTTGTCGGAAAATTCTGACCAAACAAAGTGCCATTCATGGTCTTATTTCAAATTAGATTAGGAGTTAGGACTTTTTGTATTGTCGTTTTATATGGCATGTAATGTTTCATCCATATCTGAACCACAAGCTCGAACTATTGAGCTATGCTTTTGAGCTTTAATGAGAAAGTAACGAAGTTTTAGGCCCTCGGAAAATTGATTTTGAGGTGGAAAATCAACTTCGAGAAATTCGAATTTTTAACGGTCAAAACTTTCTTACGTCAATTTTTCATTGAAGCGCAAAAGCATACCATAACAGTTAGAACCCTGTGTGCTGCCTCTCTCTTCTCAAAACAATTTGCAACGAAAAAATTTGAATTATTCGGGGAAAAAATAAAGAAAATACGACAACAAAGCGCACGATTGGGCGCCAACTTTGGCACCCCAAACAACATTTGAATACGCGGGTAGAAAAAGAGAGATTAATGGAAAGTTAGAGGGCTCAGATAGTGAGAAGAGAAGAAGGAAACGAGATCTTGAAATCAGAATAGACGGAGAGAAGGAGAGGAGCAAATAAATAGAAAGACACAACGAGTTAGTTGACGCTCTTCTACTACTTCTGAAAAAGGAATGCGCAAAAAAAAGAAACAGCGAAATACGATACATGAGAAGAGTATCATTTTATGCCCGGGAACACATGGCAAATAGAAATGAGAAAAGAATTGGGTGGAGATGACACAACTTGTAGAATTTTGAAGATTTCGAATTTTCTCGATTTAAAAACAATTTTAATGGGATTAAACAAATGATTCTCTTCATATGTTTATGAAGAAGCTCATAAAAACTGTTATTTTATTAATGGTCAGATTCATAAAATTCACAAAACTAAATAAGTAAAAAACCCGGAACAAAATAAATCAAAATTTCGAATTCTAGCACGACCAGCCGCGACTGTCCAAGTTAGGTGACAGAATGCCATTGTTCTTGGGCCCAAGTTGAAACCAAATACACAAAAAAAACTCGAGCGCAACAAGCGAAAAGACAAATTTTGCATTGTTTCCTTCTCGTTTTTTCTTCCTTGACTTGTCACAACAGATTCCACTTTTTAGGCCACCCCCTTTCTTTTTTTATCTTTGGATGAAATCTTCTAGTATTAAGGTGACAAAATCGAAATATTGTCTCACTTCTTTCAACACCCCAGGTCTATATTTTTGAGGAAAAGAAGGATAAAGCTGATAAGATTTTTTGAACGCGGAGCCGATGTCTCAGACGATGTCACCAACTACAACTACACGAAGAAAGGAGAAGTAAAAAAGAGAAGTTGTAGTGGAGGCATTATGTGAATTCACATAAATTCGAGGTGCGGAGGCCAATTTTTATTGCGTTGTTTGTTGCGAAGACGAGGAGGGCAGCCTGTCTCAGTGTGAGGTTTTTCTAAATTGTGATGCTAGACGCGTGCCATTTGAAAAATGAGAGGAGAAAGGTATTAAAAAAAGAGAAATTTTGAAAGAGACAATGGAAAACTTGAATTCATAAATTAGTACCAGGGAAGACATGGTTTAACTACACTCTAAATTTTGAAAAAAGCAGCGGAGATGTCCGGAATGGTTTTTTCGAGAAACGGAATCCGGAACAAAATAATTTACTCAGACTCTGGAATTTGAAAAACGGACTTCGGATTGAAAAAAGCACGTAACACGGAAGACGGAATCCGGAATTTCTACATCTCTGAAGAGTAGTCTACTGCAACTAAATCTAAACGTTTTATCTGTCGGCAAATAGTTTAAAATTAGCAAACCTAATGTCTTGAACAATTTTTTTAGAAGTCGAATTTTGGGAGTCATATTTTTCAGCCAATAAATCAATTCAACAAAGTATTTATACAACAAGTATTAAAAATGATGAACTACTGACTAATTCAGAAAAATAAATCAAATTCTAGGAATACTTTTTTATAGTCTGGAATGGACATTATATCTCTTAACTTTGAAAATATCTTCCAAACCTGAAAATCGTTATAGAAAGAAGCTGAAATATTACATTCCAAGGTGTGGTTTTAACTCACATCGGATTCAATAAAATCAGTTCAAGAAAATACCACTACTGATGAAATCGGTTGAACTTTTTAATGCCCCAAAACGTTGATAGTTTTCACTCGAGTAATCTGCCAACATAACTGGTAGTTCCTCTTTCCTTTGTCAACTATTCCTGTTTGTATATTTACTCTAACAGTAATCGGCGGTGACAGAACAATGTTCTTGTGGTCAACAGCTATAGGAAAGAGCATTCTGGCCTACTTTCACTTTATTGGGTTCTCATTGAAGGAAAGTGTTTTAAAACATAGACAAGTCATAGATAAGAAACAAAAGTTCCAGGTACCGTACTACAATCTGTTCCTCACTTGTAGAACAAACAAGACATAAGAAAGGCAAATATCTTATCTTCTGATATAAATTATGACAAAATCCAAATTTCAGTTTTGGGGTTTGCAAAGAGTTCCTTCCTATGAGTTAAAACTCATCATGTGAGGATTATACCGCAAACACTCTAATAGAAGGCCACTCTATATGTACACTTTGAGCTAAATTATCTCAATTCCTGTAAAAATTATCTCAATTCCTGTATGATATCAAAAAGTGGCCAACTGACAGAATATTGTTGACATTATGAAAAATATTTCGTTAGTTTACAACTTTTTCATATCTGTTACAGGAGCCGAGAGGAACAAGCTCAAAGTGCAAGTGTAGTGTGGCCTTCTATTAGAGTGTTTACGGTAACCCAACTCTAGTTTGAGCTATCCGGTGATTCTTTAAAATGTGCCACTGAAAAACAGAATTATCCATAATGACTTTTTTGAGAAACAATACAGAACAAAATAGTTTCTTCGGAATCCGGAATGCGGAATCTGGATAAAAAATATCACGAAGTAAAAAATTTTTAAAATCCGAAGCCAGTGTTCCGGAAATCTCTACAGTAATAAACGAAACAATCCAAAACGCTGAAACGCGAGACAAGAAGTAGAAGAAGAAGAAGAAGAAGAAGGAGAAGAAAAAGAGCACAAAGAGAGTACCGATTGCGCGGCTATTCAGTTCCTCTGGGTCTCTCTATTCAGTGCAATCTTTCGTTACTTCTTCTGGTCGCTTCGGGTCACTGACATAAAGTAACATCTACCAGATGTGGAGAAATGTGCAGTGTCATTGAAATGAAAAAGAAAAGATGACAATAATAGATCAGCAATTTAATGATTTTGAAGTTGTATTGAAATTTTTAGATGTAAATTGAACATACATTCTATTTTTTTTTTCGAAATGGACCAATTAAGGGAACTATTATTATTGTACGAAAAAACGGAGCTGTGGAAGAGAAACGCCGGTTGCTGTGGCCGATGATCTCACAACGAAAACTACCTTAACCGTTTTTTTGTTGCTTTTCGTCCATTTTTCGATTTTTCCCCAAAAACAGAAAGAATGTTAACTTTTGATAGTGAAGAGTTTGATAGAGGAATTGAAAAGAAAATGAATCCGGAAAGTAAAATTATTATTAAGTTAGGTACTCAGCAAAAAACCGCAACAGTTGTGCAGCATTTGCACCTCTAACAACAGTTCCGACACACTAGCGCTACAGTTATGCAGCAAGTTGAGCAAATTTTTGGAGTGCAACAATGATACAGCACTGAACCAGCATCTGTATACCGTACACCCTCGCTCAACTGTAGAGGAGTTCGCGCCCGTAGCAGTTGCACAGCATCTGTGCGTTCTCCTACAGGTATGCAGCAGCTGTGCAGCATCTTAGCAGCACAACGACACAATCCCATACTGCGTCCGGTTTAGCAGAATTTTATTTTTGATTTTCGAAGTTATTGTCGCTAGTTGTCGCTCGTATCTTTAGCCACGGCCACCGGCGTTCCTCGTCCACAGCGGCGATTTTTCGTAGAAGAGTAATACTGCAAACCATTGTTTAGGTTTATTTAAATTGATTGTTGTTCATTTTGTTCAAATTGATGCGAATGTGTCTCATATTTTATTTAAATAAGTGTCCCATCGGAGAGAGCTTCCCAGAAAATAACTTTATATCTCGAATGTATTTACAACTGCTTGATTAGATTATTACGATCATCACGAAACATGATAGATTTTTGCTGGAGAAGGCAATAAACATTTTTTAAATAAAGGAATGGTGAGTGGAGTACATGTGAACATTGATACCATCAACTATGTCAGTAGCTGTAAAGTTTGGCATCCAATTTGGAATTATCCCGAAAAAAATAAATACATATCACAGAAACAAAAGGAGTATAAAACGCGATTAAGGCGGAACAAATAATTTAGACAAGTGACTTAAAGAATAATTTGGTTTTTGTAGCTACATGTCAACTCCTTGTACGGCAAAACGACGCAGTTTAAGATTATAGTTTCTGGAGCAACGGAGACATCAGATCCAAGAATTGTTAGAGATGGAGTGAGACGGCCGTCCGGAAGGAAAAGTGGTTTGTTGTCCATCTGGTAGTAAAATTTTCATTAAATATACTGATGAGAAGATATGTTCTTACCTTAGCGAACGGAAGGTTAGGGTTCGGCTCGAGAGGGATTCCTTCAATCCGTGCCCACACACCTACGACTGAACGCCATCCAATAACAGATTGCAAGACACACGCATTCTCCTCAATCACAGCTTCTGGGAGAATGATCGACTCCTTGATGCGTACTCCTTTTCCAATAACTGAATTCGGACCAATGCTCACATTCGGCCCGATCTTTGCTGTTGGATGTACTTTAGCACTTGGATCAATAAAAACATCTCCAATAATTTGAGCCCCATTTTTGCAAAGTCGAGCCGCATAGCGCTTTTTATAGAGACGAAGATAGTGACGGTTCGCATACAGAACGGCACTGAAATTCATAATTCGACGTTTGCTTATAGCTTTTTCCACAACTTACGCTGCGGTTTTTGTTTGGCTCCACCATCTGGTTGTGTGAAGAGCATACAGATTTCCGGAAGCAGCAAGCTGTGGAAGTACGTCTGTTTCCAACCAGATTCCATCTCCGTTGAGTGGAAGATCGAGTTGTCGGATGACCTCAGTTTTCATCAGATACACTCCGCAAGAAATATTGGTAGACACAAAAGTAGTTGGTTTATCTACATAATGTACAACTTTTCCGTTGGAGTCTGTGACGACCTGAATGACTAATTCATTTCGAGTTTTCAGTGTAAGCACTACTAACCGATCCGAAGTTGATTGATTGTTGACGAGTTGCTTCTGTAGTGAGCATCAGCATACTGGATCCAGAAATTGAATCAATTTTTGCACCCATATCTTCGATAGGCAGGTCCCCGCACACATCAGCATTGATGACGAAAACCGCATCCGGATCGCCGGAGAGTATTGTGTTTTTGAATGAAACGAGACCTCCAGCAGTTCCTGAAAATCATTAATTTCATCAATGTTTCTTTTTTCTGACAAGTTTCATTAAAAGTAAAACGCCCCCTCTAATACAACAGCACCCTTGCGGAGTGGTTATATGTAGCAAAGCAAAGTGTTTTTTGTCGCTTGATTCACAGAATAGAAGTGTAATCTGAATTTTTGCACCATTTCTCACCTATTTGATACCGTTTTAATCAAGTCAGGCCTTGGCACTGAAAATTTCGCGACCGAAATTTTCGGAATGTAGAATTGAGAATATCAGTAGGTCCAAATCATATAAGGGCTCACCTAATTTTACCTAATTTTTCCCTCACCTAATTTTTTCCCCTAAAATTTTTTAACTTTATTACATAAAGTAAAAACCGTTTTTTTTTGTTACCTCGCATCATCCCAAAACAATCTTCCGAAAAAAAACGCCATAGCGCAATATTACAGTTTTTACGGTAGTTTAACGATAGTATTCCCTGACCATCCGAAATCTTTAACCTTACGAACTAGTTACATTACAGACGACCTTCTGACTCCTACGTAAGAAAATTTAACCGGTTTCGAGGAAAACACATACCGAGTGGATTGGGTTCTTCGAGATATTTTATGCTGACGCGGTAGGTTTTCTGGCAACGATCGATGAATTCAGTGAAGAGATCAGTGGGGAAGAAACCGAGCAATAGGATTTCAGACAATCCAGATAACTGAAATATAGGTTTTTGAAGCAATATTTCAAAAAGCCTACCTACCTGGCAAAGTTGATCGATATGATGTTCAATTAAAGGAACTCCAGCAATTGGGAAAAGTGGTTTAGGCAGTTGAAGAGAGAGTGGACGGAAACGAGTACCTTAAAGATAAACCAAAAAATTTCTCGGTTTTTTTTAGTTTTGTTTCACTGGGTATCGTAGTCAAAAATCAGATATTCAACCTTTAGCAGGTCGCCATATATCACACCTGAATGTGCAATGTATGCCCTTTGCTTTCTTTTCCAGACAATAAAATTCTAAACTGGTTTTCAGTATAGTATTAATAACTTGAGGATGGTTCTGCAATTTAAGAACACAGATACTTGGTTACTAAAATGAATTGCCCGACAACTAGGTCAGAATAGTTTTTGTAAAATATTTCAAAGACGAAACTTACATTTTCAGAGGAGTGGATAATTAGAAACATTGGGAATTTTAGTTGAAATCATTAATCTAAAGCATGAGAGGTCTACGGTAAAGTAATAAGCTCCTAGAGCCGGAGGGGATGATGTTGAGCTGCATAAGCTATAATAGCTATAGGCAGAACTAGAAAAAATGCATAGAGTGATAGAAGGGCTCCAGCGGCCAGTATCATCTTGATTCAGAAGATTCAGAAATGAGGGTGTTTGACGCAAGTGGTCTTCTTGGATGAGGCGGGTTTGACTATTCGAACAGTGACGCAGTCTCCTCACCTTTTTGTGGGCCTCCGACTAGAACGACCGCTTTGAAGGACATTTTGGTGTAGAGGCAGGAAACGAAGAAGACGCGTTTCTTTGGAACCGGGTCACTGTCGCCGCCGCGGAAGGGAGAAGTCTGCAAGACAAGAGAACTAACTGGATGGATTTGCTGTGGCTAACGACGGAAGAAGACGCGTGGTGAGGGAAGAGGATTGAAAAGTCATCAGAATTAAATTGAGAATGATAGCATAGGCCCGGGCTTCTGGGCGGTCGTTTCTGGGGGAGGTACTAATTTATTGAACTTTTCACTTTTTTTCGTGTGAGGCCCTATATCAAGTTCCTAGGCACGGGTTTTCAGATTTCTCATTTGTTTGTAGTTTGAACCGTTCGAAAGTCCGGCATGCTGCAGAAATCTCAAGTTTATTTAAAGAACTGAAAAACGGTTCACCATTATCGAGATATTTCCTATTCCGAGGAAAAGCAAAAACACTGCAAAAATGTCTGAGATTTTCAGTTTTTCTGAAAGTGACCGAAAGCTGATATTAGTAATTTTATTGATCAATTATTTGTATAAGAAAACCTCTTAAAAGACGTTAGCGTTAGAAATTCGAGAAGTTAACACTTCCAGAAACTCAAAGTTCTACAGCGCCGAATAAAACTTAAAAATTTCTCTACATGAAGACTACGGAATAAGTTTCAGAAAACATGTTTTTAAAACAGAAAGCCGATATTTAAAGAAATATATCGTCTGGCGACGCAGTGCCGGCATAAAATCATGAATGTGGAGGAACGAGATATTTTCGTCTAATCAACTCAATATTCTGACGCTTTGTAGCCTTATACCCCTTATAATTATGAATAAAATTATATATTGTCGAATTAAAAAAGTGGGACCTGGAAAATTTCGCGTGCGGCTTCAAGATCAATTTTCGAGGCCTTGCCCCAGAAACACTACGGTAGTGAACGAAACTTATTTCTGGGAATTTAGTGGGATTTTCTGAGGCCATATGCAAGAAAATGGAACACCGTTTCCCGGTGTTTGGAAAATGATTTTCTGAAAGTCTGACAAGAATTTTTACAGTGATTACATGCATTTTTAGTCATTTTTTAGCCCCGAATCCATTTTTAAATCAAAATAAATATTTTCACACTGTCAGAAAATCATTTTCCAAACATCGGAAAACGGTTTTCCACTTTCTTGCATACGGCCACTGAACAAAACTTAGATTTCTTGGTAGGAAAATGATCGCTAGCGTCTTTAGAATCTGTTTTTATCGAAAAACCGAACTTAATTGCGAAAGTAGCTTGAACGAGGCGAACATCTGAAATATTACTTTTTTGCCGCACTTTTTCGTAGATCAAAAAATGTTACGCCATTCAAATTTTCAGGTCCCGCTTGGGTTCAAGCGAGGGGGTCAGAAAGCGCGCCCCAGTAAATTTAGGAAAAGTTCTAAATTCGCTGCCGAATTTCGTTGGCTGAGTTTCACAGTTTTAAATGAAGAGCGAAAAAGCGCGCCTTGCAACCAGTTGATTTTGAAGATATAGATCATGATCTAGATCAAACCCGCGTCCACTTTAAAATTATTAAATTTCTTCTGGCCTACGAGTTTGCTGGGGCGCGCTTTCTGACCCCCTCGCTTGAACCCAAGTGATACTCAGCCAACGAAGTTCGGCAGCGAATTGAGAACTTTTGAAAAATTTACTGGGGCGCGCTTTCTGACCCCCTCGCTTGAACCCAAGTGAGGTCCCACTTTTTTAAAATTCGATCACAGCCTGCCGAAACGCGATCGCGCCAAAAAGCCGCCTTCAAATGGTGCGGCGGAGCGCGTCTGTATTTTCAGTGTTAAATTTCAGAGATTTTTTCCAGATGACGATATCTCAGCTCAAACTGAATAAAAAACTATGGGAAAACCTAAGAATTGTAGAGAAAAAATTCTTCATCAGATTTTAATAGTTTTCGCTGTTAAAAATTTTCCGGCTTTGCGGAAACGTGCCTTTTCTGAAAAAAATCCTGTTTTTAATACTTTTTCAGCCAAAATTTTATAGTTTCCAAGTTTGTTTTGTATGAATGACACAATACATGTTTCTGAATAAGAAATAGATAGTTTAGAGAAGATTTTTATGAATAAAAGTTATGAATAATCTGATTCTGTTAATTTAGAGATATTGCGAGAAACCTGACTTCTCCCGGGACTAAATCGAATTGAAACGATAAGAAACATGCTGAAAACTTATCAGACTTATCACAGCGTCATTTTTATGTCACTTCGAATCGAATTTGACGGACTGCTGAGAACAATTTGCCAATCCGAGTTCTAGGGGAAAAATAGGACATTTCAAATTTCAGCTAAATTTCATGTACTACGCCAAATCAATTCAAAATAGTAATTAATGATCGAAAATTACTCTTGTGAGACGGTAAAACTGCCTGAAATTCCGGGAAATTGACGAAAACTGATTCGGTTCTTTAACAACACCTTCAGACGTTCCACTTGCTAAATATGGCATAAAAACTTGAAATATTCATCTGAATTTTAAGATTGTCTTTTCAGAATGTATGTTTTTTTTCATTTTGTCGTTTTATCACACTGAAAAAGAAAACCGAAAAAAAAGTGTGAAAAACTAGGCTTTTTTCGGAAAAGGCACAATTCCGCAAAGCCGGAAAATTTTTAACAACGAAAACTATTAAAATCTGATGAAGAATTTTTTCTCTACACTTCGTAGGTTGTCCCATCGTTTTTTATTCAGTTTGAGCTGAGATATCGTCATCTGGAAAAAATCTCTGAAATTTAACACTGAAATAACGGGCGCGCTCCGCCGCACCATTTGAAGGCGGCTTTTTGGCGCGGTCGCGTTTCGGCAGGCTGTGTTCGACAATAAATAATTATAAAAATTCAATGGAAAAACAATTTTCCGGCTTCAAAATAAAATAACTACAGTAGGAGATTACGGTAGTTGGTACAAAAAATTCGAGAAAACGAAATATTGCACCGTTCAGTTATCAGATTTACAATATATAGACATTCTATAGACAAAAGTTTAAAAGCCTTTGACATAAATCCAAATTTTTACAAAAAAATCATGTAAATTGAGCTTGGTATTGTAAAACGTAGTGTTTGCTGCCGAGTGCAACGTATCAGTTTAAAGGCACACCCGATTGTTTGTCCACCGGGTCTCGCAGCGACCTGCTTCTCCATACGCTCTAATTTTGAAATTCATAGAATTTCAACGAGAATTTTGCACTAAATTCGATCTTGGAGTGATTCCTGACATAATTATTAAAAAGAATGAGCTACAATAAGCTGGAATGCATGCTAAATATTGAGGATTGTTTACTTTTATGTTGTTTTCTCTGCAGGGAAACAAGAAATAATGCTTATTTATTGTTTGACAGTTATTACAATCAAGCTAATCGTTTTTCTACTTGGATGAAACTATGCGATCTGGTTTATTTTCACAGGGATCTCAGAGAGTTATATTTGACACCGAAAATTGAGTATGTATAAAAAATAAAAATGGCACAACGTGCATATTTTAGATAGAGGAGAGTATCTGAAAGCGTACGGGAAAAATGCAGATCATTATCATGTAGGTAAGATGGGAAGGCGGCGAGGAAGCACATAAAAGGTTATGAGGTATTTGATTGAAACGATATATAAAAACACAAAAATCTCGTTTTTTGGAATGGGGACTACATTATGTACAAATATCGAGAGCACACCAACTGGAAGGAAAACGATGAGTCGGCACGAACCATCTGGCAAGAAAAATGGGCGGACCCTACTGCGCACCCCAGCCTCCCGAACACCCCACCAATCGTCACAGAAACATACATTTTAAACAGAACAAATGACTGAACTAATTCGAATCTGACCACTTTTTATATGGAATTGTTGCTTTATACAGTTTGATCTGAATGA